TCTTCAGAGGGTCTCACTGTAAACCAAAGTGCCCCTGCCTGCAGAGTTCCAGGTTGCAAAGAAATTACTTCAGAGCAAATTGTTCGTTTGTTTGCCAGACTCAAAATGGGGCTGTGAGTCAAGGAGAGGGTAGGACCTGTTTCGCTGAAGGTGGGTGAGATGGCTGTCCTACATCACGCTGCGTGGCGAAGGGCAGTTTCCAGAGAGTCAGCTTTCTGCAGCTCCTTTGAAAGCCAAGCTCTCCACAGCCTCAAGACAGGGCCTTATGGGGGATAAGGCTGGATGCCAAGAGGCCAACTTCAGCTTCTCTCTATCCCATGACCCACCACTCCCTCCTGTGGCCCCAGTACCCGTATGCCAGCTGAGAGAACCCAACTAAGGCCTGAGGACCCACCCTCAGCTTCACACTTCACTACAAAGAATACAGCACATCTGCTAATGAGTCATGGGCCCCAGGAGAATGGTTTCAGCACCTATGGGGTGCCCTAGAGCCATGCATGCTCTACCCAGCCACATGGAGCTCACTCAAAGACAGCTGTGTACACTCATTAGATGCCACATGCAGGTATCCCCATTCACATGCACAGCGCACAAACACCCCTCTATACACTCTGCTGTCATCCCTCTTCATTTAATCTCTTGGGAAAAACAAAAGAAAACAAATTTTTTTAACTGTGCATAGAAAGGCCACTGAGGGCCATGTGGCCCTCTGTACATAAAGCTAATAATACACCCAGGCTAGAGGAGTTTCTAAAATTAACAGAGCGGATGCAAGGCGGCTGGGAATGCTGACTCGGGCGGGCCTGCCACTCCAACGGGTTTCTACACTCTCCCCAGCTCTCGTTCCCTCAATTACAGTCCAAATTTGAGACAGTAATTAACAGGAGAATGTTTGCATTTAGTGGTCTTCATAAAACCAAATTGCATAAGGCAAAAACACCCATTTCCTCGCACTCTGACTAATGGTTTCAATCTTGAGCTTCCAGATGCTCAGGGATATTTCCAGCACTCGATCTGGGCTGGGGTCGGGATCCTGGATCATTCTTTCCCACAAACCACTACCCTGGAACATCAGAGA